CTTTTTTCCAAATATAATATTGAATAACAAAGAACACTTAAACGTAATGTATAATGCAATATATACAAACAATAATAACTTCATGTCAAAATGTTTTTTTTACACATATACATAATTATAATAACGAAACTTAATATTTCTATAACATATTATTATAAATTTAAAGTAGGGCCTATTATCCAATCTATCTATGGAAAAAGTGCAAAAAGCTGCAATCATAAGCGATGCTTGACTAGGATGGCGGCCTCAAGAAAAAAATCTTAATTCCAATCATTGCTGCTATGTCAGGAATGTTGTATTGTCTCAAGCCTATAGTGGTCTCGGAAAAATACATTAACATAATGAATGTGACCTATATGCAAATCACACACATAGATAAACAAACTTGGAGATTCGATTTTTTTTCTTTATTCACTATTGCTATGTCGGGGTTTATATGCAATGTACAAATGAATGTACAACTGAATTCTCTTTAAAAATGTGATTTGAAAAATCAATCACAAATGTAACTGGAAGCAAGATTCTAAGATTATTGTTGGTGGGGAGAATGATATCGCTTGGTTACTGATTTTCGGCTTGATGGATTGGTTGATTTTATTCGCCAAGCCTCCAACATACAACAATATAAAAGAATATCAAATCAAAATTAAGTCAGCTTGAACACGAAAGCTCGAGAGCTTATTTCCAGTGGGGTCCCCGACATACACGGTATAAAATTAATAAGCTAAAATCATATTATTTACAGACAGATAAGAAAAAATTATTAAAGATAATAAAGATGAAAATAATAATAACAACATTAAAATAATAATGATATAGAAATAATAATAAGTACAAGAAAAAGAAGAAGTACAAGAAAAAGAAGAAGAAGGAGAAGGAGAAGAAGAAGAAGAAGAAGAAGAAGAAGAAGAAGGAGGAGGAGGAGGAGGAGGAGGAGGAGAAGAAGAAGAAGAAGAAGAAGAAGAAGAAGGAGGAGGAGGAGGAGGAGGAGGAGGAGGAGAAGAAGAAGAAGAAGAAGAAGAAGAAGGAGAAGAAGAAGAAGAAGAAGAAGAAAGGACAAGAAGAAGGAGAACAAGAAAAACAGGAGGAAGAAGAGGGAAATAATGATGAATATGTTGAATTTCTAAAACGTACACAAACATAAGTATATATACACAATTAAAAGAATCCTCATCCTTATCTATTCCTGTCGTGAATAAACATTACTTAAGAATGGACACATTTATTAAAAACAATCTAAATTTGATTCGAGTTTTTGCTATTGATTGAGTTCAAACAAAAATGTCATATGTGATTTTTTTTTTAAAACACCAATTGCTATTCGCCCGTGTTATGGTTGTATATGCAGGCAGATGTTGTTTGTCTCTTTTACTAATTTGTTTGCATAATGTATGATGCTCGGAACTAGAGCGCTTAGGAGATAAAAACATGTTAGGGCGTGGTATAGCTGAGTAGATCAGAGAGTTGGAACTCCCTGATTTGACAAAATTAGACCACTTCCAAAGTGCTCAATCGTGTATTGTCGTTTCCCCGTCAGAAAAAAATGCTTCCACTTGTGCATCATGTATCCATCGTTGCTATATACTAGATGGATAATGATCAGGGGAAGATACTATTCCGAACCAGGGGGGGGGGGGGGTGGAGAAAGGAGAGGGGTAAATTTATACAGGAGACTTGATACTTTTTGTTTTTAATGTAGGCTATAAATGTTTTAAATTTCAAAAGAAAATGGGGAATGAAACATTGCCTTTCTACAAGGAGTGGCTGCAAATAGAGCTTTCCCCTACACTCTGAGAATATTTAGAGATAATGAAGTTCAAACGAAATGGCCCCTGCTATTGTTATTTGGGAGGATTCACACCAAAAAAATATAAAAGAAGGGTGTGGGAGATGAACCCCTTCTACCCCTGGAAAATATCAATAAACTCAAACTCAAACTCAAAAATTGATATCCACACACTTGTTACGACGCACAGAATGTTAGTTTTGTAAGAAATTTATAAGAAAAATATGTTGCACGGCCTACCTGTGGTTTGTGGCTACCTCCAGCCCTCTCCGCCCCACCCCCAAAAAGATCTTTATAAAGTATCCAAGAATAAAATTGTGTCAGTTCCAAGCCTTAACTCTGTGTCTTCCTTCCTGTCTACCTCCTTTACTCTGTCTCGATCTCACTAGCACTGCTGTCTTCCATCTCTATTTCGCACTCGCTCCACACCTCTTTCTTTCTGTACGTCCGTTTATCATGCTCTCATTTTCTCCTGCTCTCATTTTCTCCTCTCTCAACGCCCCCCTCTCTCTCTTTCTATCGTTCTCACATATACACAATACTCTCTCATATACATGATTTTCTCTTTCCTCCCCCCCCCCTCTCACAAATACAACACAACATGCACTCGTACCCTTAATTTTGTTTCCTTGCCTTTCTGTATAAAATTGCATCACTAAAATGCTGTAGACAAATTAGACACAAAGACAGTCAAGTTTCTCCATTTCATAGCAAAGAATTTTTAATTCTAGCATTTAAGTATTCAATATCAATGTTACACCTATCGATAAAGTCACTCTCAACTTGCATGCATGGGTGAATCTGTGCAATATTTCCCTCATATTGTGTCAAGCAGAAGTACATAGTCAACATTATCAATCCATTTGAGAAAATTACATTTTCATTTTAACATCCATGGGTTTCATCCGGAGTTATCCCAGGCTAGTTTTCCCAACAGATGATACACATAATTATGCAAATTAATTGTTTGATGGAAGTACAGGCGTATGGAACATTGCAATAAATAGAAATAGTAGAAAGGAAACATCAAATCCAGTCAGAATAGTTGGAAAAGATATTCACACACAGTATGCACATGGACTGTGCTAGATACTCAAAATTCATAAAGCAAAGGAAAAGCTTGACAGAATATCATCAGAATTCAAATATTGATACTCCTATCAAATGACTTGCAAAATGGTACAGACTCTTTAAAAACATTAAATATGGCTGACAGTGTGAATTGCTGAGCAAATCAACACTGGACATAAGTTGCTCACATGGTTGGCATATGCATACCACCCTCAAATTTGACATCTGTTACTTCACAGGGAACATTTCTTCAAATCTATTTCATTTCAAAGGAATAATCACTGAACAATCACGAAATATCCCTCTATCCTGACATCATAGGGTAGTAGACATTTGAAATAATCTCACTGGTATGGGTTAATGTTATGTATTTGACTCAAGTTAACAAGAATATGGTTTCATTTGGTCGATTCTTGTCAGATACAATCATTCAAAGTTTAAGGAAGAATGCATAACCCGAGCAAACACCCCATACAATACAAAATTCATTAACAATGACTTTGTATCAAATCCTTGTAAAGGCTCAAGCCTGGGACTCATGAATCTGTTTAGATTTTTCTTAGAGAATTAGACCATTCCTTAATTGTGAGGTGTTTGAACCTTTTCAGTTCTTTTCTTGACATGACCATTTGCTCAAACATACATGCAGGACGTAGTTGTTTTTCGTACAGATGAGAATATACATATTCAAGAAAACCTTTTAAGTACAGTGTATTGCATAATTCAAATTTGTCATCGCTTGCCGTGTGATGTGAAATTGTGAATACATTTTTCTCTGTAAGTGAAAGAGTTAGTGCACTTCCGTATCACCATTTCATGTAAATACTACTTCCAATTAAATAACTGATTGGATATAATTATGTGCCGTAATGATTGTATATGCTAATAAAGTATAGTCTCTTTCAGTGGTATATTGCACAGAGATGTTGGAACCTGAAGTGTACTTATCCAAGTCTAAGTGAGGATACATATTTGCCAAGTATATGAAGTAGTGATGTCATGGTGATATACATGAAGAAGAGTAGCATGCACTTTTCCCATGAGAAATACATTGCACACTTGATCGACTACAAACATTTCAATTACAATGTATTTAAATTTGTCTGTAATGTATCAACCCATACAGGTGTTTTCCTTCTATCATTTGCAACACAGATAGCACTTACGGCAAATAAGAATATAATGATGTCTTCATCTAAATATTCCTCTAAGAAAATAGAAATGGTCACGCCCAAAAAAACATTTCTAGGGAATATAATCAGTGTGCTCGATAAGAGCTTTTGCTTCTCCAGCAAATTATACAATATTTGAATCTATCCTCTATCCTGAAACCATGTGCTGTCTGGCCTGCCTTAATCCTATTTAACCAAGCCTGTTGATAAATGAATATCTTTTTACCATAACATTTGAACGAAAATACCTTAATTTTATGCCACATGCAAATACACATCAAAAACCAAACAATTGCATGGCAATATCTATCATGATTAAATCTAAGTAATAAGCAAATATCATTCATCTAATGTTTAAACTCTTATGTCATAACATGCTTTACAGTTCATGATATATAGCTAAATATCAAATAGTATTTCATATATTTTAGAAATTTTCCATCATGAATATTAATTTGTTCTTTGCAAACATGGAAATCACTTCACATTCGCACATTCCATATACCTTTGAAAATAAATAAATAACAACGCGACAGAATAAACAAATACACTCCCATAATGTCTATTATCATCAAAAATTATTAGATAAACCTCTTTTTGTATTAAATCAGCTTTGTCTTTTCTTAATTTGCAGTATTGTTTAACTCATCCTCTAATTAAAGTAAACATAACTGACACAAATATGTATGGCACTACACCAGGCCATCCTCCTGCAACATCGGACTCAATTCATAGATGCTCAACCCAATACTATTACTTTCTTATTAATATGTAGTTTGACATGATTATATAGACATAGACACAGCTCAATGGAGATACCGGTTCATGCAATGTATCATGTAAAGACAACATTTTTGTATCATGTATGGTTTTATCTTTGTATCATCATCTTTCTTTATATTATGTGCCATAGTCTGATATATCATTTGCTTCACATGATGGGAATGCAACAAACAAACAAAAGAAAAGTCTTCCATCCAGACAATCTGCAAACCGTTTATCAAATATCAGTATAAAAAAGGCCGGAATGTAATGACTTCCCTTTAGCGATCAATCAAGAATTTTGCTCTTCTGGAAAACTTACAAAATACAATTATTCTTTTGTGCCAAGTCAAACAAATCATATGAAAGCTTGATGAGAACCTGAAGCTTGCTACTTCTTGATTTCTACTTTACTTCCTGATTTTCATTACCATTCTAAATGACACAAGCAAAACAAAAAAATATATAAAAAAATTAAAATAAAACTAACTCTGTGTACATCCAAAGACAGTTATGTCCAACCCATCATACATTGTAATTTCTACTTGATTTTATTGTTGCAACACATTTATAAATGTCAAAGTTAAGATAATGGTAAATAAGTGCATTCAAAGCAAAGAAATTTCATATCCATTATTTGGCCCAACCATCCAAGAATGTTATCTGACTGTGAAACATTGCCTTCGTTAATTACAGATGGATGTCCATGACTTGTTTATTCTAGCATGGAGATAATCCAAGAAGTCAACTTAGTGTGTTCTAACTAGTTGTGCTACTTAATGACAGGTACATAGTTGGTGCAGTGGAAGGAAGGAAGGAAGGATCTATCAAGACTGTCAGGTTAAAACTGGATGCTTGATTTACCACCGGGAGGGTTGTAGATCTTAACGCTTGTCTTGGCATCCGTGTTATTACCGATGGGTTCCTGGGGCAATGTTGATGCCCTCAGCGGCTGCTGCTGTGGAGGAGGAGTCTGCTGTTGAGGAGCTGCCATTTGTTGTTGTTGTTGTTGGGGTGGTGCCCTTTGTTGTTGTGGTGCCTGTTGTTGTGGTGGCTGGTCACGTTGGGCGTGGCTGTGAGTAAGTGGGTTGTAAGTAGCTGGAATAAAAGAATACAATTGTATTATGTGAAGAAAAAAAGAGAGTAAAAAAAAAAAAAAAATCAAACTACAATTTATACAATATAATAAAGACATTCTTTAGGTATGTTATCCCTATGGAGGGCAGTATAAGGAGTAAATCATGTACTTTATCACATTTCATATCTGCACTGTCCAAATTCTATTTTCATTTATTTTTTAGAACATAAAGATACTTTTGGTGGTCTGCTTTGGGCTCTTTGGTCATAATAGGACAATTTTTGTAATGTAATCAAATTTAATGCACAAATATTTTTAATTTACAAAGTAATTCATTCACATGTTACAAATAATTGTTTTTCAATAGTCAGAATGCAAAATCCATACATTCCATATTATTAAGTAGGACGAGCCATTATGTTTGTCCTACCTAGCAACAATTAATGTATGCAATTCACATTTTAACTATGTATTTAAATTCAATTAAAAATAAGAGTCATAAAGATATGAATAAATGAAATGAAATGAAATGAAAACAAATATTTACTGTTTGGTCTGAAAGGTTTAGCGGGTCCTGAGTCCTGGGGTTTAGGAGCGGCATCTTGAGCAAATGGAGACTGACTGGGTGCTCTCCTTTGAGCTTGAGCTGGGGCTGGAGTCTCCTCAGCAAAACCAAAGATGTTATTGCTCTTTCCACCTGGTGGGGCTAAAACTCTGAAAGATAAAGCAAGATCAGCAAGAAAATTGTGATATACATGTAACATCAAAGCGCCAACTCCTGTGAGTCAATGTTTTGTATTTTCCCTTTGTTTGAACTAAGTTACATATATGGGTTGTTTTTCCTATTATTGATAAAAGACCCCTTTGTTGAGCAGTAATTTTACCCGCAAGGCTACCCTGTAAAAATAATAATCAAACAATAACAACAGAAAATTTGTTTTCATTTCCCACTTTTCCCTCTTACTCACTTGCAAGAGTAAAGGTGCTGATAATACCATTATTCAATACACAAAACAAATGTTTTTGGTTGCGTGTCTGTAAAGTACATGTAGCACTGTTAGTTCTTTTAACCACAGGGCAGTAGAGTATATTTATGTAGTAGCTGCGCTTTATAAATCGATCTAATTATAACTATGCACTTGCATGGCTATATCACTGTCAAGTTAAAGCTAAAGACCAGTTCTGGTCATGCGATTGCATTGTGAAAGAAACGTTGTGGAATGGATCAGAAAAGGTTGATCATCTAGCATATATATTATTGGTGTGTACTGCAAGGTTCTGGAATCATAAAAGTGATAAAAAACTTGGCCCAGTCTTCGTAAAGTTACAAGCACTGTACACAGAAATATGGGACTATACGCACACATGTGTGACACGTGCGTTTATCTCTCACAGACCATCGGATAAACTAATTTACCAAATATATCAATAAGTAGGCGGTTTCCCGGCAAATTTGTTATCATCATGTATTAGTCAAAACATATTCTTTCACATGATTGGTAATAAGAGCTTCCATTTCATTTTTTGAAATTGGGGCGTTTCCAATACTGGTCTTTACCTTTAATGTAAGTAAGGTAAATACTAAGTTTTTTCATTAACATAACTCCAATATCAAAGCATGAAAATTATTCCTACAAGGATCACAGACACTAAACCTGAAATAATGATCAGATTGCAATAAAATTATGCTAACTTACTTGGATCATCACAAAAAACCTGCTAAACAACACCTTTAATATTATAATCAAACATCTACATCGAAACTGTGACAGTGAATACATGTACACAGACAGATAATAAGTATATGTGTCTAAAGTTCATGATTGATTGATGAGTCATTCACTTATGAGCAGACAGGAAAAACAACAGGGTTTTGTTTCCTCAGTTTGAAACGCATCAAACTAACAGAACTAAACACATGAATACAAGAACCTTGGCCAACTAACAAGGGAATGTAGACAGTATGTAAACAATATACATGTACAATACATGCAGGTAGGTGGCACAAGGATATCAATTTTCTAGCAACAGTCATATTTACTTTTGCAAGGCTACTGCATATATTGTATGTAAATGAGCAAAAGGAAAACAAAGACAAAAACAATAGGTGAAATAATACGCATACATTTGAATTTGATTATAACTAAATGACATGGGTTACTTCCATGTAAGTGGACAAAGCCGAATCTTTTTAATATTTATCACCCGGTTTCATAATAAAGGGGTATCGGGGCTATTCATGACATAATTTTATATTACATTGGTGTTTTATATCCAAGGGAATCTAGGACTTAATGGGTATATCATACACAAGGAAACCCAGATCTATGCGCATGTTTGATCTCATAATATTATTCTATTACAAATAAAAGTGGGGTTGGTCGGGCATGACAAAAAACTACAATCAAATAATCAAATTTGTTCAGTGGCAACTTACTTTGATGAGTTCTTGCCCTCTTTTCCACTGAATATAATGGTAGTAGTCATCTTGAATAATTGATTTGCTGAAACTGAACTGTGGGAAATAAAAAAGAGGAAAAAAAGAAGCTTTTTACATAATTGGACATTGATTTTCAGAAATTTAATTTGTACATCGTTGAACTAAAGCATTGAAAAACAAGGCAGCATGAACATGGATATATGTATAATTTAGTACAAGACTTTAGAACCACTTAAAAAAAAAAAAAAAGCATTTTCTTTCTGTAAAAAAAAATTAGAAAAAAAGAGTACTGGTACTGTAAGCCATTTTCTCAAAGTGCTTTGTTGTACCATACAGCAGAGTTTACAGAATAGTTACATGTAAATGTACATTTTGATACAAAACCCTTTATACTCAAATCCCAATTTTAACCAGCCACAATATGTTCAATGATCTTATTATTAGTTTCTCACATTACTCACAATTATCATCAACAGCACTAAGTCTTGCCAGTATAAATTTGTTCAACTATGTTTATCTCTGCTCAGTCTGCTCGCTGTTATAGCAGTTTGCAATGAGAGTACAAGTCATACACTCAACAGGTATGTACAGTATGTTGACAACCGTTTTTTTTTTTTTTTACCATTTGGTACACAGCTGGTGAGAAAATTCACAATTTTCTTTCTGCACATAATAGCCTTTGTAGTATTGAATGCACCCACTGTGCACACTTCCTGCTATATTTGTCAGTCATATTTAAAGGTTGACATACATCCTCGTAAATAATTGTAAGTCCATTTTAAATTAGGAATAGGACACCCTGTTTTAGTTTGTTTGTTGCTGGTGTTATCGTTAGTTTATTTATTTATTTATTTATTTATTTATTTTTTTTTTGGGGGGGGGGGGGGGGAGAGGGGAAGGAGTCTATCACTGCTAGTTTTTTAATGATCAGTTGAATTTTCATGCCGTTAAAATTTAAATTTAAACAAACATAGCCTGCAGGGCATTCGCTAGGCTGTATTCAGCGAACTCCGTGCATGCACCATATGCCACTAAACTATTAAATAGCTATTTTCATAAAGTCAGCATCAAATTGGCAATTCAAAATCATTAATTTTTATGTACACAGCATGTGGCAGAACCAACATCGCAAACTCTTGTCAAAGTCCACTAGAAAATTCAGAACTCAAGTCCGAAGGTTTTTGTCATGTGCGGGAATGGGCAAATATGAATGCATTTTAGATTTTGTTTGTATCACTCTTCATTCACGCAGTCAAATGGGTTCCAATTAAGGCTTGGTGATATCAATATCATATTTCACATTATAACAAAACTCATTATATTCAAGTAAAACATCGATTTTGGGTGCAAGAAGCTAGCGACTGTAATCTCAGATAAATTAAATTCATACAAGTAATTCACATTATGAATTGATGATGATCATTACGGTCGCTTACTTCACACACGCACGCGCGGCCTAATGTTGGTATGAACTAAAACTGTGCAGCGGTTTGCCGTGTAACCTGTGAAAAAGTGTACACAAATGTCTTTGTTTTTTGAAAAAATTCTCCTAAAAAAATAAGAAAATTGACACGAAACGGGCAAGAAAGATAACTACTTTTAAATTACGACCAGGCATTAGAGGTCTATTTGACAATTCAATAGTGGAAGATTTAGATGATTTTTGGTGTGTAATAGATGGTATCTCCACGCCAGAGTCACGGGTCCAAATGGTTGCAGTTGTGACAAGTACCCTAAGAGTAAGAGGCCTCATTTATATACGATTACGCGTCACGTTTGCCGTCTGAATTTACGAAAAATAGTAAAAAGCATCAAAATTTAAATTGCGATTGTCCTTTACAAATACAATATTGTGACTTGTCCAATAAATATAGATCTAAGTCTTAAAATAAAAGAGGAATGGAATATTACATGTAAACTTCTAAAAATTGTTGTTTTATATCAACTGTCCGGACACACAACAAGATCTGCCAACTTGCTGCAGCAGGCCAACGGGCTCACCAGTCGGGTGGCGCCCGTCCCTCCCCCGCGCTATTCGTCATCAACATGCACCAACAGAGCAAAAATGTACATGCAGAGCCTATACGGCTACGTCACACTACTGAGTCACTTCCATCCATTTTCTCTACAGACTACAGAGCAAAACAAGTCAGAAAGATTGTTTAACACGTTCATAATTTCATCTTAAAACTACTGTACTGCACAGATTTCAAACATTCAATACCAGATAATTCGTTACCAAAATCAGATGTTGTATATTACTTGTTTCTAATCGGATATCCCGAGCAGTTTTAGAGAGGGAAGCACTGCGTTCTCAGCCAAGAAAGTCAAACGAAGAATGAATGAAACAAATAGGAATCTACAGGGGCTCTGATTGGTCTAAGCGGGAATAGCGATGCCCGATGAACCAGTTATAATAGGCTATGTATATCTAAAGGAGTCGTTCACTGAGCAACAAGGGGTGTGGTCACAATGACATTGGCTAGTTCATATGCATTATTATTATATTTCACAAATGAGTGTAAAAGTCCACATAAAATTGCTCGTTAGTATGATAAAAATCGCAGAAAATAATCAATTTATCCAACAACGTGCCATTACGGACATTTCTTGGTAGGTGGTCAAATATGTCACATGTCCCGAAGATGACCAATCCGGTAAGAGGGGTTTTCCCATGGATTTCGCGCGTTCAGTTGTTGTTTACATCTGAAGGCTAGCTACATGTGCATTTACTACCTACTTCCGCACCGGTACTTCTACTAGTAATACTAGGACTGGGCTAAATTCATTCGGATTACATTGTACCTGACCATTCCGCAAAGTAAGTGAGATATGTTTTATGTCATGGGACCATTATATTTTCTTTGATATTGTTTCAAATGTATTCAGTGTGATTATGAATTTCAGGCAGTGCCAGAGGCAGAGATCTTGATTAGTACTCGGTTCAGCGTACTTAGCTGAATGAGATTGACATCCCGTCGGCGTCGCCTCGTCCAGCCACGGCCCATCAGGCCAAGGGGAAAGTACGGTATACGGGGCAGGTAACCAGGACTAGCTTGCAGTATTGGAGATCTTTGACTTTATCCATGCTACTGTAGAAAGCGCAGCTCGGCTTTCGTTTGAGCATATATCATGTATCAGACCACACTACTGTTTTTTCTTCTTTTTTCATCCTCTAATTAAAATTTGATTTAATTAATTGCTGATGCAGAGTAAAGATTGAATTTGAAGGGCTAATTGTCTAGACCACTGCTCATGTTTTTTTTATCCAGATCAATTATTAAATGTAAATGGTGCTAAGGTCAAGGAGGAAACGAAGGTAAAGAATAGAAGAACTATAAATATGAGGTATGCATCTAGATTAGTTTAGTTTAGTTCAATGTTACACCTAGTGTTTTGTTTTATGTTGTAGTAAACAATGTTCCACACTCAAAATATTAATGGATGAATTCCATTTCACGCTATTTTCATGTATTTTACTCACTAATCTACACCATTATAAATGTCTATAAGAATGTATAACACTGAAAATGAGAAATAATTTTTTTTTATGGATAATTTTTGTCAATCTGATTTGATTTATAATAATACACTACCAAATTGTATGTGTGTGATATATATTTCAGGATATAATTTGCTTGTTTTAATCAAGTACTAGTTAGACATCTAGGTCTGTAAAGGAATGATTTTCAATGTTGAAATCAGGATTGAATTTACTTCATTTAAAGCTTCAATTTTGAAATTAACATTCATCACATACAACTATTTGAGGCATTTTTTAATAACTTTCCTAGGATATCTAGACTTAGTTGCTAAAAATACTCTTCTTTTCACAGTACTCTCTATGTGCCTTTGTAATCTTGGAGCATGACTAAAAAGTCTTCATGCCTCATGTAGACTACATCTTTTTACAAATTCTTGCAAGTTTTGTCATGAAACATTGATTATTCTTGTTTAATAAAAAAGCCATCATTTGATCTCAAACCTGTAAATGCATGTCACAAACAATAGTACATTTGCATGAATCAGAGGGGAAACAAGTAGTAATAGTATGGTTCCAAGTGATAATGGCCTAAGAGAATTTCACTTTTTATGTGTGCTGCCAAATGTGATTTAAACAGAAATGTAATGCTATTTTAGAAATAGATTTCTTGCTACATTTGTTTTTGTTCAGTTAAATATAATCAATTTTGTGTGAATTTGTATATATATGGAGACTACAGAAATAGGATACATGTGGGAATTAATCTCTACTGAATACAATGATTTGACGTTTCAAAGATGGATTTCCTTTCCTGCTTCTCATCATTATTAAAATGCTGATATTTGTACATTGATTTTATCCAAAGCGTTGTAGTTCATGGGTATGTTTCGGGCAATTTATGATTCATTGGTAGTGTCACTTAAATAATCCCATAGGTATGGATTAAGATATAGTTCTTCTCTGGTGCAGCATCTGATCTTAGACTTCAGGTCAATATTTGTAGGTCGCAGTATAAGTTTCGAATTTATGTTCTTGTTTGCTATTTCATGATATTTTTCAATATCATATGCATTTTCTTATATCTGTAACAAAATGAAAACATCTTGATAGAATTTAGGATTGTTAAATTCAAGTACATGTAGGTAATAGGGAGCATTGACAATTCCAGTGTTGATAATGATACTTTGGGTTGAAGTGCACCGCCAGTCAATTGAGCTGTCACAGCACATCGAATATCAAACTCAAAGGGGAAGTCCACGAGATAATTCCTTGTAAATACACAAGAAATAACCGTTTTATTCGTGGGAATTAAGCATTACCGCCAGTAGTACATCATGCTTATAAAGTATTATGTAAACGATGTTGACTTCCGATGTAGAAATAGTCAAATAACAGATATAATCAACTGGCAAATCAGAGTCTAATTTGTTTTTGTTTCTCTCGAGCCGAGGGCCATGGTTCGATGCCGCCGCAAGTCTGTGCCATTTCTTTGGCACGTAGCCCGCTAGTGCTGGCTGGTCTAGAATGAGAATGACAGTGCGCACGTATTTTGCAACCGCGCTCCGGTCGCGCCGAGAGTGTTGCTAATTCTTTTGAGGACAGATGTGTGTCGATTATTGTGATATAGAAACTCCGTAAAATGTGACTTTTTGGATTATTGTTGTTTTGCAAAACTAGCCTATTGCAGTGATGGGTCGGCATAAGAAAGTAACTTCAGAGCTTAAATCACCAAAATGTGCATCAACGAGGAGGTAAATGATGTTTTTGATGCCTGTAAAAAGCCTTTGTTGAGATGTGTTCTATTTTCTGATTTGCAAATTTTCTTTTGCCGTGTTGTCCGATTGTAAAATTTGATCGTCGATAAATGGATATGAAATGTAATTCATGATATGAAATGTATTTTGAGGGGATCACATTACTTGTTTAATGTCATACTCTGATTTGTAGAACATTCTTGCTGTTTTAAAATTGTTAAATTTAGGCTTAAAATTCTTGATTTTGAAAGTGATTCTCGCATTGAAAACACACATCGGCAGCCATTTTGAAAATCTTGGTCGTCAGCGCTACTCGAGACCAAAACAGAAATTTGATAGCGTTCGATTTCTAACAAGTTTCTTCATTGTTTTTTCGTTTTTTAGAATGCCTGTCACTGCCGGGGGAGGAAATGTTAAAGAAACCAATAAAAATAAGAGAAAAACTGCTTCCGGGGAAGGAAAAGGCAACGTAGAGGCTTCGACTGGGCGTGGAGGTGTGAAGTCGAAAATTGAGTCTGTGCCGTCAGTCGAAGAAAAAACAACCGTTACTTCGACTCGAGGCATTTATATCACTCCATCGAGATACGGTTTACGTTCTACTACCGTCAAGAAACCGCCTAGAAATGAAAGTTCACCTCCAGGGCCATCTCAAGGTATTTTAGAAAACATAAATGATAATCCTATAATATATTCTTTTTCAAAGCCAAGGACAACTCTTTAATCTAATGATGTCAGATAATTCAGTCCTTTTTTTTGCGTTGGTCATGATGATAAATGACATGCAGTATGGATGTCATAAAGACAAACAGTGTTGTTCTGTTTTTCTCTGTTTGTGCCTTCTAATGTTAGATCTAACTTTCAGTTGAGGTATACTATTGTTTATTTCTAAAATGATTTCATGACTGCATTTGGGTCATTTTATTATAATTATTTTTTTTTAATTACAAAGCAAAGAACCATCTCAATCACATTTTATGTGACTAGACAATTATGCCGTGATTGTCTCTTGGACTTTTTTTGGCATTTTGAATGATAGACAGATAGATTGGCGATTTTTACATCACCCTTTTAAAGTTGTGATTATTTTCTATTTTGAAGGGGCAGCACCAGCACATATGACTAATCAATATTTCAATTTGTTTTTTCATATTTTTTTAAGTATGGCATTATTGGTTTTTTAGTTTGCAATTAATTATTATATTGGGGTTCAATAAGGAGAATTTCATTTAATCAGGTCTTTGGTAAAATGTATATTATTCTATTTAAGTCACTCTGATCTCATTGTTGTTGTTTATGCTTGTTTGTTAAGTTACTTATTTATTTGTTTTCTATATATTGATTTATTTATTTTTTAAATATAATTATTTTCTTATTTATTTTATTTAGTTTTTTTCTATTCTTTTTTTTTTTTTTGGGGGGGGGGTCACAAAGTGGTATTTGAGTTCATTTAATATTATCTTTATTCTGGTAGATTAGTTTAGTTAATAGCTGATTATGTTATTCAAGCTTTGTTTGTCAATACCGGTAGTATCTATGACATATTTACAAATATAGTATTATACTTATACTTACCGGTATATTATTGTAATTCATTACATTTTTTGTTACTCACAGAGAAAGGACAGGAGAAGGACAAAGAGAAAGATAAGCAAAGCAAAGCAGAGCAACCCAAGGCTGAAAGAAAGAGATGGGAAGCTTGGAGTTTTCAAGACAAAAACCTTTTCTTTGAAGCAGTGGCAGAGGTATTACTCGACAGGATGTATTAATTGAGGTTTTTCAGTTCTTTGGATCATGAGCATCTATGCTTTGAGACAATCGTCCACTCTTAACAAAGTTTTTTTTGTATAAGATTTGATAAAATTACAAAATAGAAAGTTCAGTTTCTTATTTGTTGGGATAAGCTTTAGAAGAGTATAAAAAAATGAGTCTTTTTATTACCATGTGAAATTCAAGATGAATAAAATTATTAATTTTCAATCATTTTGAGGGATTACTTGTACTGTAATTGGGCCTTGAACATTTCAAATTTATTAGATAATATTAATAAATGGATCTTGCTCTTCAATTTCCACTTATTAGTTGGCCTTGCATCCACTTTTATTTTCTTCAGCTACCAGTCTTATGACTCTATTGAAGGGTTGACATCATTTTCATGGTTATTTGTTATCTTGTTTAGGTTTTTGTTCAGAAATTCAAAACTCTTTTATATTATTATGATATCCAAAGTACTTGACTGAGTGGATGGTATGTAATGTGACGTCACTAATTGATGAAGAAATCTTGTATCTTTACCTTCCAAACAGCATGGCAAAGACTTTGAGTCTATTCAGAGGTACATCGGACAGAGGCATAAGAAGCTTGGTTATCCACCCAACCAGAACAAGAATAAAGATCAGGTAAGAGCAGGGTCATAATGGCCTCAAGCGATGATAAATGAGTTGTAACTGTATGGTCATATTCTACTTTTTCAGTTAAACCCCACCCTATGTCTAAGATCATATTTGACAAAGAAAAACAGTAAATGACCTCGTGCTGAATTCCTTTGTTAAACCTGGTTTTGAACATAAGCTTAAATCTAGTGGCATGGTAAAATATCAGTAAAATATTTATGTTTCATAATATTATTGTTCGTAGAAATAACAAATGTCATAGTTCCCACAATTTGTATTTGTCAAATGCGTACAGTTTTATGCCAGCATGGTCATTGCTAATAATGAATATGTTTTCCCCCTCATGCAGGTTCGGCACTTGTATTATCGCACCTGTCATAAACTCCTGAAATTTGTCAAGCCATTGCCTGGTAAGTAACCCAGGGTTGTATTTCACCATTCGTTTTGTTTTGGCAAGGATAGTATTTATTTAGGTCGACGGTTCACAGTGTAAGAAAGTTTATTAAAAGAGCACATTGTTGGGTTTTCAGTTTCAAATGTCTCATAAATTATTTGTGGTATATTGAATATAAAGTATGATTCAGTTGGGAAGAAGTAGTGAATTAGTAGAAGATGAGAGAATGAGAGATATCATTTGTTAATATCTTGCTTGATGCTAGGCCCTTGTTTATAGTTATATTCTTTAGTTTATGGTAGATTTCTATCAGTAACATCACGCCCTCAGCATTTTTCTCAGGAATGCTTGATGTTTCGTATACTGGCGAGAAAAAAATCATATCCAACCAAACTATAGATATCATTATTCCATTACATCTCTAATTACTCTTAAATATGAATCATAGTGGGCTCTAGTGGGAAATCAACACCATTCAGGTGTTTACCAAATAACAGGTGTTATCAATCACCAGGATTAGACTTCAGTTTTAAGATCGACCGTCACATGCCTTATGTACTGCTTTGCATTTTCCACCACTCGCCTCATATGGAAAAGTCACTATCTTACATTCCCTCACCCCAGGAATCTAAGGGGTATTTCTTGATAGGACTACAGGTTTGCTGTGTGCAGACTTATACACACATTAATGATATTTCCACCAAGTCTAGTGTCAGCAAATTATGACTTACTGCACATAGACACTGACTACCATCTCCCTGGAATATATCCTTTGTCTGTACAGATCAACCGAGAGTGAACAGTGAGCTTTGTGCCCTGGTGAACTACGGAGAGCTCCGTAAGAAGCTCAAGGGCGGACTCACTGCTAAGTGGGGTCTGAAACTAGATGAATTAGTTTCACAGGGGTAAGTTTATACAAATTGTCCCTATTTTCATGAAGTGACGGTGCTGAGGAAAATCGCATACAATTTACGTGACGATTTTCCTCATTACCGTCACTTCGTGAAAATAGGGACAAAATATTTGATCAAATCTTAGCTTATGGTATATACACTGTTGTTTTTGTTTTATTTTGTTTGTGTTTTTCTGTATTGCTTTAATTACATATTGAAGGAAACAAATTTTTAGGTCATAAAATTTAGAATTTTGTGTATGTTGGTGAAAAGAGAGTTAATATAATCTCTATAAAAGGAAGAACAAACATGTTTTGGAAGGTGAATGTGCTATGTATAAAGTTACCTGGTATGTAATGATAATAATTCAAGTTGAAACTATGATAAACCATAATGCAAGTACCCACAGAGATTGTTATGATATATCAACATTATCAAGTTCTTTTCTAAAACAACCTTTCTTCTTTCTTTGTTATTTCCAGGTCAACAGCAATTCGTTTCAAAGGTAGAAATCTCAAAGTGAAAACCCCCGTCTGCAAGGCTTTGAAGAAGCTGAAGGGTGTAGGCAGTAAGTCTTATTGTGATTATGTTGTTACACAAGTGGACAAGGGGATCCAACATTTGCTCTGGTGTCCGTTCCATCAGGTTTACTTGCATGAAATTTATTGGTTTGGGGTTGGGCTTGTGATTGGCTTTCGTGTTAGTTTTTGTAAGAGTAAGGTTTAGTTTTTGATCCACTGTTGAAGTTAAGAATTAGACTTGGGTAAACAAATTGACAGCAGATTGCAGAACAATTGTCACCAAAGCATGTCATACATTCATGAACAAAAACTCAAAGCTTCTTTGTAAGAAAGAAAATGTATACGATGTGCTATTCTGCAGTTCAGGAATCAGTATCCTTTTCATCCTTATTGTTCATCAACACTTTCATGATGTTATAACTGTTCTATCTTACATTGTATGATGTCAATATAATGATTATATCCTGATATACTTTACAGAGATTGAAGTAAAACCTACAAAATTACCTGCCAGGGTGTTGCTGGAGTTGCAGCCACGTAGCAACGCAGCATGGGCAGAGGTTCAAGGAGTGGCACACAACCCAAGGTTGAGGTGAGTTAAGAGTTCTCGACTTCTCCAATGATTGTGCTATTATTTGAGTATTGCAGGAAAATAATGAAACCAGGGGAGTGTTTCACAAAGACTAAGACTTGAACTATGGCAGGCCACTAATTCCTCTAACCATTCCTGGCATTGGTTTCTCAAGGGACATACAAATCGTGAAACAAATCTACAGAGTTTGATAGTTCATATTGAAGTAAAAAATATTATTTAAAGATCATAATTGAGAGACCAATGGTGAAAGCAACCAGTGGCATGAATGGCCTGCCATAGCTCAAGTCCAACTTAAGTCGATCTTAGTCTTTGTGAATATAAATTTTCTGGAATCTACTGATTATTTTTTCTAACTCTTACTGTGAACCTGTGTTGTTTTGTTTAGATTGGTGGTGCCTCTTCAGAAGGATATGGGAAACCTACTCAGTTTCTTGTCAGAGAAATGGACACCTCACAGACTCAGACTTGTATCCTACTCAAAATATCATTTTTTTTTGTATTCTGGAAGCTATGTATGGTTTAATTATCCTTTCCCAAATCTAGAAAGAGGGTTGCAATGAATAATTAAAAGTAAATGTTTTTTTAGGTAGGAAAGGAGCATGGAGGAAATGTTTGTTTCCTGTTTGAATTCAGTCAATAATTACCTTTTCCTGATGAGATCTTTGGAGCTTAGGTCAAGGTCATTAGAGGTCAAGGTCTCCATCCCAGCTCTAAAATTCTAATCATTACCCATAATTTCCATTCATTGTGAGCAAATGGTGACTTTCCTTAGTATTAGTAGTAGCAATCATCAAATAATTTATCTTCCCAAAAAGGCAGAGCTTGTGGTAGTGTCATTGTAAGGATGAAAGTTGTATGCATACTTCCCAACTAGATCTACTTTAGGTGAGTGATTTCTATTTTTTGACTCACTAATCTAAGTTGCAAGATTTAGGTTCCTCTCCTTTTGTCTTGAACTTCTGTGCAAGATGCATACAACATGCATTATATTCCTAATTATAATTTAAAAGATTCATATTTGTTGCTCAGGAAGGTTGACCAGTATACAGGTAAATGTGCATAATTTGTTCGACAGGAAGTGTTTCCTTAACGGCACAACTTGATCTCAGCTTCACTCATTGAAACCCGAGGACAAGAGTAACTTTAACCAAGTCAAGATTCATGTGCCAAAGGGTTCTACGATCACCCCTTACAATAAGCTACATGGGCGCTTCATCCATGCCAACACCAAGACGCCCTTCGCCCTGGTTGCTGCGGACCAGGCTGCCAGTGGGGAATCCCCTGATAAGACTGTACAGACACCCTCTAAGAATGGGACAGGAGAGGTTGGTTTCGGAGGAGACGATGCCAAGGATGACATCACAAACAGTTTGCTTCATCCTGAGATGGATAACAACATCCAGCAGATGGAGGTTGATCTCCTTGGCAACCATCATCCTTCGGAATCCATGATGCAAGACACAGGAAGCATGCCATCTATGTTTGGTGATGGTAATTCCATAGGGGATCTCCTCTCAAACATGTCGAATGGATCATTAGGACAGACGAACGAAAACCTCTCATTCAGTAATCTGTCTCTTACGTTGTCTGGCAATCAGAACTCCTTGTCATTAGCTCCACCCACAAACAATATTCTCATGCATTCTGATCCCATGGAAACGAACGATGCTGTATCATCAGTGATTGGAGGATCGGGAGATGGGTCAAGAACAGAAAATGGAGTGGAGCAAGACCCATTGACCATCAAAGAAGTAGTGAAGATGGAAGTTGTAGAGGAGGAAGAGGAGAAGGAAATAGATGAACTGCTCAAGGAAGGACTGACTGCTGCAACTGCTAGTGGTATCACAGCTACTGACATCTATCTCATGGTATGTATACCTGTACAACTTAGATAAAACTACAAACAATATTCAGATAGTGGTGCAAATGCAAATAAAAATGTTGAGTGGTGAATGTCTTTCATTTCCATATACATAGGACAGGTTGCTGTGTGTCTGAAATGCCTGAATATTAAGAAAAGATACAGTACGTCTGACAGAGATACTGCTTGGTGCTCAGCAGGTTGAAGAAGTTTCACTCAATTTATTTTGTGCTCTTGTCTCAAATACATGATAAAAAGCAACGGTTATTTTTTAATATCAATCTGCGTATATGTTTAACAATCCATTATAATTTCACTATTGTTTGGTGGAATTTAGAAATAGAAAAATAGGACACAGTCACAGCCTAATGTCTTGAAATTTAAGATAGATATTATGAAAAGGGGAAAGGAAAAATATAAGCTCTTTTTATACTTCATTGTTTTTATTAATTGTAAATGTTTTATTTCAGATGGGACAGCCAGATACGTTAAAGTTTGAGTACGACTTTGTGAAGAAGGAGCATCCAGTGAATGATGTTTCCTCTATTCACATGATGAAGAAACTTGTCCATCTTGCCAAAAGCTCTTATGTAGAAGTAGCCAACCCTAAAGAGGTAATTTAATCTCATTTTGTTATTTACTTACAGCCATCGCACACTATACTATCCGACTACAATCCAATTTTGGTAAAATTTGCCAAAGCATTTGAAACAAACATTCTAACTTAATGACCAAGAATCTGAATTGTCATATGATTACGAAAATCTAAATTTCAAAGAATATGGAAAAGAAAAATCTAAATTGACTCTGAATCTTACCCGTGTCCACACACAACGTGCGATGGCCTTAACATGTGGTGTGGGTTCCAAATGTATCCAAATTGGACTCAATCCAATAAGAGATATCTTCATATTTAAACAGATTGTGGTTATTGTAAAGAATTCTCCAGATATATGTGAAAGAGGTTGACTTCTTATTGCCTGGTGTTGACTGATATGATTTATCTGGTATCTTAGAGCAAGACAAGATCATTAACTTGTCAAGCCTCGGTAGGCTTTTAATGATGCTCAGTTTTGGTCTTCATTTTTTTTAAATTAACTTGTATTATATACCGTGTCTTTTTTAAAACGACAAGGGCTTTTTTTTTCCTGTTTTTTTGTGTGTGATTTTTTGGGGTAAATCGTAGAGTGATCGTGAATATAGATTGACTTGTGTTATAATTTAGTTGCAGTTAATTTGGAAGTGTGATGCAATTTTTGTATTCTTGTGCATTCTATAAATATTTGTTTTTCTTCTCCCCATCCATCAGTATGTGTCAGTTGGAGTTGTGACCTCTCCCATCCGTAGCGACACCCCTCCTTCCAAGGCCCAGCAATCAGGCACTAGCAGGAGCCCCTCCACCAACAGTCGTAGCCCACGTGGGACCGGATCAAAGGGTAACGCAAGGGGTACTAACCCCACTGCTAATACCAAGACCCAGGGGAAGTCAACCGTAGCCAGTAAGTCTGATGCTGATGATAAGAAGGAAGAGGGAGAGGAAGATGTACACTTTGCGGTGCCCAAGGCCGTTGCACCTGTTGCTATCCGAAGAGGCCAGGAACCAAGCCATGCACAGGAGGGTCAAGAGGTCCTTAATCAACTGGAACAGATGAAGGTTGGTCTAAAAGACACAATATGACATTAAATAATGACAAGTAATGATAATGATAATGACTTCTTATTACTTAAAGATAAAGTTGAGTTCTGGTCATGAGATTGCATTGTGAAAGAAAAGGTGTGGAATAGATCAGAAAAAGTTGATCATGTAGCATGTAAATATTTGTGTGTACTGCAAGGTTCTGGAGTCATAAAAATCATAATAAATTTGTCCACTCTTGGTAAAGTAACAAGCACTGTACACAGAAAGATGTATATAGGACTACACAAATGGTGTCAGGCCTACTTACCTTGATTTCCTTATCTTTCTATGCTCATTACTCAGCCAGTATACATTTTCTATCAAAATTGTTTGGCAAATGACATTTATTTGTAATCTTGAACATTCAGTGTAGGTTTCATTTGATTCTGTGAGAATTCATTTTCATTTTTTACCAGAACTCAAGTTTATCTTTAATAACACGCTTTTTATTCCAAGTTTATCCTGGCTATAGCTGATGACACTAAGCATCCCACATATTCTTTTTTGTGAGCTGTCTACATGAAGATATGTTATATGTATGTTTGATGTAACTTTAATCCTGATTTATTTTGATGTTTCAGAGACCACCAGCGAACTTCCTACTACCCAGAATGAAGAAGAGACAGAGAGGAGTGAAGCCCCTTGTGGTGCAGGTGAGAAACCCTCCATACAAGATCAACACTAGATAGAGAACAGCAAGTGGAAAGCATTTCAATCTTGCAGAGATATGCGTTTTTTGTGCTAAGAGCACCCCAGAAGAAATGTTGACGTACATTGTAATCGTTTAGTACTAGGGTATGGTTATGGATTAGACATAAAGAAACAAAGCATTGATGGTAATACTTTCATGGCAGTATGGTAGTCGATAGGATTGTGGATATTCTACATTTATTGGTTGTTAATTCACAACTCAACATGAATGCTCATTTAGTCACATGATCATCTTATCAAAGTGGCCCCTATTTCTAGTTTGACTTTACCAGTATGTGTGCATTGATGTCATTGCTCATTACAACTCTTGATTTAACTTTGCAGAGGACCATCCTACCCAGACCACTCCCCCAAGACAGTCTGACAGACAACATGGTCTCCATGGCGATTATTAACTCTTCCCAAGCCAACATGGGTCAGTTCATGCCCATCAAAGTCAGCATGTCTTCCCTTGGCACAGTGGTATCACCCAGAGCCCTCCCTAGGCCCATTAAGCCCAGCATTTCAGGGGTCTCTACCACTACGATTGCAGGGGTGGGCAAGACCATCACAAAGACTGTCATGGCCCCAACACCAGGTAAAGGATTTACATAGATTGAGAATCATATGAGATGTAGACTTAGAATAAAAGATGTAGTGTATGTAGAGGTGGTTATTTTACCTGACTGCTAAGAAAGCGTAAATGCTTTTTAGTAAACAACCAGAGGACCGACGGCTTTAGGTCATCTCCGAGAGACTTGGTTATGAGGATTAATGCCTTACCAAAGGGCACTAGCGCATCGACTTGGTTTCGAACCCGGGTCGCCAGAATACGAGACCACTGCTCTACCAACTGAGCTATCGCGCATCCTCTGATTGACTGGGGATGGGATGATGCCAAATTGTAGAAAGATTTTTATGTTCAGTAAGGCAGTGTGATCTAGGAAGAAGAAGCAACAAAAAGGAGAAGAAAATAAAGTAAGAAAGAAAAGAAAAACTACCTTCCCTGTCATTTTCTTTGATTACATTCAACGATTTAATCTGTTCCGATGTGTGGGCAACGATCATTGCACAGGATAAAAATGACATATTGAAGTTGAAATATTACTTTAAAATTACATTTCCTTTAGAAATACATGAGTTGTGCAATGAAATATAAATTACGTTGGATATCAGTGTTTGAAGATCTTTGTAACGTTGGCATTGTTTGTTCATTATCCTCTTGAGTCTTGACAATGTCTGTAAAATATTGATTTCAGGAGCAACCAAGACTGTAGTGAGAAGAATCATACCTATCAACGTGACCAACTCACCTGAGAATAGAGGTAACATCCTTCATTCACCTGCTCCTCTATCCTTCTCACCGGTTCATTCTCCTATGATGCCAAGTAGCCCTGCACCGGAGTCACAGGTAGGTTAAAGCTCGTCAAGTCTCTCATGTTTGTAAAGAGTACACTTTTAATGTGATTTCCTGGCTTAGAATATTGGAAGAGTAAAAAATGCTTTGAGACCAGGGGACTTAACAGAGAACTTAACAGAGAAAGGATGTACAAAATGGATGACTTTCTCATGGGCTCTGTTTCATTGTTTATGGCAGTGAACAGGACATGTCATGCTTTTAAAGTGACCCTTTTCACTTCCTAGCTTTTGTGCCTCTGCCAGGTTTGTAAAGTTAAATGAACATGGTAATTACAAAAGGATCATTGATACACTATTTTAAATTTAATTAGGAATAAATTTGTTTTATCATAGCATTTTCCAAATGTATTTGAAATATTTGATATTTTGGTGTAGCAGGCTGGTGTAGTAATGTTTGGATCATTCCTGTCAATTAATAGGTAAATCAAGTAAGCACATCTCAGCTGTCTACATCTCCATCGCCCTCTGCTGCATCCCCCCAACCTCTGGGGTCCTCTACCCCTGCGAGGGAGTCGCCCCATCCAAGAGGATCACCCCATCTAGGAGTACCTGACTCATCCCTTCTCAACACCACCGTGATCATCGACAGGGGACCAGCAACACCAGCTCAGCCAATCAACAACCAGGAATCGTCCCTTCTCAACACGCCCATTGTCATTGACAAGACGCATCAGTCGATATCTAACATGGATTCAACTCTCCAGGGTGATTCGACCTTTGACCAGACGTTGACGCCAGCCGTCACGCTGGCAGACTCTTCCCTGCTGAACACTTCCATTGCATGTGGCGTGCCATCATCGTCGATGACCAGGCATCAAACAACCATTCTCCACATCTCACCCCCGGAGATCTCAGCATTGTTGGACATCTCCATGCCAGCATCAGAGAATGGGGATACCATCTCAATCTCAATGGATTCTTCCACATTTAGGAGTAAGTTTCTTAAGAAGGGCCATCTTTTTTGTTATTATTTTATTTGGCAGAAAACACATGATATCAAAATACAGAATTGAAAATAATTAATGAATAGCAAATCACACATGAACACTGGGTGGACTCTGACATCCATGTTTGCTCTTGGCATTATCATATATGAACATATAAGGTTATAGTTGCAGTTAGGTTTTAGGTTTAGTTGAGGGTTAGGGTTAGAGTTAGGCATTGTGTTTGTCTATAGACTACTGAAGAATTTGACCCCTGTAAGGGAGTGACCCTTTGAAAATAACACTGAATGGTGATTTTCCTTTGGACTTCAAGCTAGCTTGATCTTCTACATAACAGTGATCCTGGTATTTGTAATTACTGTAATTTGTATGCTATCCTAGTTTTATCACAAGTTCTCTCCATTCTTCTACTCCATAGCATTTGGACAGGACATCTCATCTATCAGTCCCAACTCGACTACCAATGAGCTTCTAAACAGTAGCACCCTATCAAGAGACATTGGTAACGTCAGCCCAACATCTTCACCCTTCAAGATCAACTCATTAGGTCCTGAAGCACAGTGGTTTAATGGAGAGGTAAGCGGCTTCTATCTTTGCAATGAGCTTTATTCTCCATGTATAAAATGGAAATTTGGCCCCAAAATAATTATTTTATCAAAAATTTGTTTCATTTTGATTTATCTTCATGCATTTGATTAAGAGTTCATTAGTTCATATTTTTTAACAAAAATATTGAGGTTACCTTGCACATGAATTATTAAAGGTTTACCAACTATTGAAGTAATTTTAAAATGATTTTAATTAATGTTGAAAATATCTTGAGTTAAAAAAATGTCCTAACTTCAACCTCAATTTTTTATTATCACATTAATACAAAAAATTGCATAAGCAAATTTCACTACTTCTATGAAAACAAAATTATTCAGTTTTTTTAGTGTTCCACTTCATTTTGGCAGTTCATATTTTGATCAATGAACATACTTTGAGATTGTTTGCATCTTATGAAGGAAAAAAAAACAGACTTGGGCAATAATTTTATTAGCTTGATATATAATTGTAGAATCAGAATATATTAGTGAAAGCAATGCTTTGTTACTGCAATTTATTTAAACTATCTTATAAGTTATTGGCCTCATCAGTACCTGGAGGGATGTCTATATGTACTGTTTGAGCATAGTCATTGTAATTTTGTTTTGTAATTGTTTGTCCACAGAGCTTAGACATCTCAATGTCAAGTCTTCTTGGGCACCTGGAGTCTCCCGAGAAGAAGGAGAGGAATCACCCCTCTACATCTACCGCTGTCTCTGTGGCTTCTACTCTATCCCTCCCTCCTGGTCTCCTCTCAGAGTCATCCAGAGACTCCATCATGGCACGAGATGTGAGTTATGGAATACTATACAACACCTAAGTAGATCCTTGTCATTTGATTGGAGGACTGTTGGTCACATGATATTCAATAGATATACTATTGCACGGCGTGCATTTTTGGTACTATTCGCCATAGTACTATTCAATGAGCGTGCATTTTGGGTTATATGCAGACTGCGTACCTCTCTGCCCTGCGCGTATCCCATTGTTATATGCTTCATGCATCTGACGTGACGTGAAGGCAATTTGAATTTAATCGAGAAGGCCGGACTCGAACTTTAATTATCTTTAATAAAGCAAAATTTGTTGAAAGATTAGCATTCTATTAGATCTACTTTGATGTTGTGTAAAAAAAATAATGAATGTTTTTCATTCGTTCAATAGTATTGAACTCATAAGCATTCATTAGTTGTATATTGTGGGCTGGGTTTCACATTTTTGTACTCTCCGCTTAGGAGGTTCAGTTGAATAATAACCACAAATTACTAGATGGTGCTAGTCTCTGGACTCTCGTTGTATGAAATTTTAAAGCTACAGAGTTGAAATGATACTTTTACCATTCAAACCAAAGTACATTTTTGATTATCTGGAGTCTTTTAATTGGTTTCCTGTTTTAGAGAAAGCTTCTGAATGAAAGGATTTCATTTATAAGCCTCCCATTGTCCACTGTCTCTTCCTAGTTTTTATTCAAGATGAGATTATGGAAACAATGCACACTCATACATTATGGGCAGGAAACTGTAGCATGGATTAATCCATTCATGCATGTATTTAATCCTTGCAACTATTCGATGAGCTATCTGATCCTATCTGTGCTGCCTCTGTCGCTTCCTCTAACATTTTTTTTGTAGTTACTCCTTTCTCTTTCCTTACATCCTTCTCTCTCTCTCTCCCCCTGTCTCTCTCAATCTCTCCCTGTCTCTCTCTCCCCCCCTCTCTCTCTATCTTTCACTCCCTCCCTATCTCTCTCCAGCATAAAAAGTTAATAATAAATTAATTTAGGGGGGAAAACTCAAATGCATTTTGACAACCTTGACCATCTTTTGATTTTTGAGTTGCCTTTGATCATAAATTGATTTGAAACGGCCCCTACGGTAGTTGCATACAGTTAGTTTGAGTATTTCTCATCTCTCTTTATACTCAACAGGTTGACTCTACTCTGCAGGTTATGTTGAATGAGAACAGCATTGACTATGTGGCTAAGTTTGCTGACCTAGCTGCCCACATCTCTGCGACCCCTGACACACCTCACAAGATCAACATCATTGACAAGGCCTTTGCGGAAGATAACACACCAGTGGAATCTGGTGGTCCTCAGCTACAGCTATCATCTTCTACTTAGGGTCCAAGCTTCATGAACGTTACTCCCAAGATCTTTGCTGTCTGAGATATGTCCAACAAGATTGATATCATTGATAAGGCCTTTGCGAAAGCTAACACACCAATAGAATCTGGTGGTCCTCAGCTACAGCTATCATCTTCTACGTAGTGTTCAAGCTTGATGGACGTTACTCCTACATCTCTGCGACCCCTGACACGCCTCACAAGATCAACATCATTGACAAGGCCTTTGCGAAAGATAACGCACCAATTGAATCTGGTGGTCCTCAGCTACAGCTATCATCTTCTATGAAGAGTTCAAGCTTCATGGACGTTCCTCCAAAATCTGTGCTGTCTGAAACATGTCCTTTGCAGTAGAGGATACCCATTCCAAACATGGTTTCTGATGAACCCTGGTAGTCCTCATCTAGAGCTTTCATCCTCTACATAGGGTTCAAGTTAGTTGGATGGCCTCTGCCAACCTTGGCATGCCCCACAAGATCAGCATCCTTGATGAGGCCTTTGCAGCAGAGGATAGCACACAAGCAGAACCTGGCAAACTTCACTGATCTGCTACATCAATGTGTAGCATGTTTGATAGCCTTCTGCATCTCTGCTACCCTGCATGCCCCACAAGATCAGCATCCTTGATGAGGCCTTTGCAGTAGAGGATAGCACACCGACAGAACCTGGTGGACTGTAGTGACAGCTCTCATCTGCTACGTAGATCCCAAGGGTGTTGGATGGCCTTCCACATCTCTGCCACACCCTCAACAGGCTGTGCACGATCAATACTGCTTAAGCTCTCATCTCCTGCGTAGTGTACTACCTTGTTTGTTGATTCCATGCATCTCTCCCACCCCAGACAAGATCAAAAGCATTGTCAAGTGTCAACTCCTTTGTACATACCTAATGGTCAATTCATCTTAAATATGTCATAGAGATAAATGAGCTTCAGTTAGTTTGTAATAATGCTAGTCTTTCTTCACTTCCTTCTATCTCCATCACATCTTTATCAAGTTGGAGTCCTATTTTTGTACTAGAAAGAAAAGGTATTTGGAATGTCTAACAGTATTAGAGGAGTGTATTAGAAAATGAACAATTGCGATAGCTATGTGTCGGTTACTTCTAGTCTTTCATCTTTCAGCTCTGTCACTGTTTGTCGTATCGTCTATAGGAAGAGGCTGGTTAGTTAGAATGAACGTTGTTTTCCATGAAATGTAAGGTAAAAGTGTACTTGAACTAAATTAGAACAAACTTTCTTCATGATTAAGTCATTTGTATAATGCTTCTCTAAAGTGCATGATACATTGATTATATGTTTACTTGATATTCGTTAATCAAAACAGCAGAAATATACATAGCCAAAATATGTCATAATGAGATGACATTTATCTGAACACCTACAAATTTGATTTCATTTGTCTTACTAATGATAGCTTCTTCTTCTCCTCTACAACAGCTCCTCTTTCTCTCTTTTCTTCCTTGATTTCATTTCATCAAACCAAAGAAAATACAAAATTTTGCTAATATCTTCTATTCTATTTCTATACCTCTTTGAGGACTTTTTTGTTGCTGTCATTTCATGAACTCAATATTATCTTTAAAATGTTTAATCGCGCCACTGGCAGTATTATGTGCATAGGATATTTATTAAACAAATTTTATTTGCGTTTATTGGAGTACAGTATAATGTTAAATGTCATTACTTATAGATGCATGTATCTGCCTGGTGGAAAAGATTGGCGATCTCACGATTAATGAAGGCATCAAATTTCAAAAGTAAAATTGTTTTAAATTTACAGATGAGAGATAACAATTTAGTAAACTTGAAGAAATTCTCTTCATCATATTTTAAGGACTTCTAGTCCCCCCTTCCCACCTTTTTTGGGCATTTTGAAAATCTCTTGTTGCTTGATAGTTAATATTGGTTAATATCTACATGATTCTTCCTCCTTTTTTTTTTCCTTCAAAGTTCCTGACAAGTTTTGGATACTATATTTTTGTCTGATGACATCATTGTACACTTACTTGTAAGTTAAAGACTTAACTTGATGTGTTTATTGTATTTAATGTTACTTCAAATTGTTGTGATTTTTTGTGGTTAATTGTGCAATATCCTGAGTTGCAAATGTGTTGTGGCCAAGAAAAACATCAATACTTGGTCATTTAAGCATCTCCGTTTTATTTGGAGAAGATTAACATCTTTATGCTGCAGTTTGGATCTTTAATTATTTTTAAAACCACATGATATCATTGGTTCAGTACATGGTTTGCAAAAGCAGAGATGAGTTGTGTATTTGGGTTTCTGTTGCATTGATGTATGTGGGATCTTCAGAGTTGTATTGGTTGGATTATGAAGAGAACTGCTTGTTTAAAATGACATTGCAAATCAAGTAGTAAGAAGATAGCTTTTCATATGGTTGCTAGCATTATCTTGTATGAGCTAATACCAGATACATGTATGCATTCTTTGACAATTTGCAATGATTGTCAACTCCCACCTATCCTTACTATGTCCTGGATGTTTGATTACCGCATCTTAAACACTGCCATATACAATGTAGTTCAGGGATCATATTTTGAAAAGCATGTGTCGAAACAAACTGAAAATACACATGTACTGCAATTTTTGTTTGTATGTAAGTCTGTACTTTATAATCTTGTTTAGAGAAATAGTTGGCTGAATGCATATTCCTCCCATACATGTTGGGGCGCAAACCTTACACATATAAAACATGTAAATGTAATTGCAAATTAAAATGTGGATACGGTAAGCTGTTTGCTTGAATTAGCCTTCACAGTTTGCTCTAAACACTTAACAACTCGCAAGGTGGTGTAAGTTGGTTTGTCTGGACAAGCTTACATGGAGGAAACGTTTCTTTCTGAAAAATCAGATTGATAAGATATCTATCTCGTGAAGCTGCATTGTATTATAAGAATTTTTTGTTGTTTAAATACTCTTAATGTGACAAAATGTAGATCATATTCAAACAGCATATTGCGGATGGAAAGTGTATAATTCTGAACGAATGATAGAAGGAAGAAAGATATCTAGATGACCCATTTGCTTTTGCCCATATGATTATGGCTATTCACTGCCTTCAGCTCAATTATACATGCAGAAACATGAAATAGTAGTAGTCTACGACTTAGTTGATTTTGCACAACTCATCTACACATATATAAACGCTGTCATATTTATATTTGCCAGTTGAAATTGTTAATTCGCTGCATCTACTTTCTTCAATACTCGTTTTATTATGAAATAGACCGTTTGTCATATGATTCTTTGCCAATGAAATTATTTATTCATCTTGATTCTTAAACTTTGATACCATCTTCCTAGGCCATGTGAAAGTTATTTCTTGCGTTTTGTCCAAATTTGAAGCTGAAATTGGTTAGAGGGGGTTTGACAAGTGATATTTTTCTCTACTGCAATACAAATGCCATGGGTTTGTTCCTGACACAACTACTAAATTTTTGTTTTCTATTTGTCCATATACTACAGTGGTTTGAACTACATGTAGGTTGAACATTATCTAGTTGCCCTGGGGGGTGTTTCACAAAGATCTTAAGTTGAATTTATCTCTAAGTTGGACTTAAAAATTATGGAAAGCCATTAGCATCCTTGAAAATATTTTGTAAAATTTATTTTAAAAGGCCTAAAATGTTGATTCAAACCATTCATATTTTCTATTATCATGGGAGATTTCATGTTCTTGATGTGGAAATTATGAAAAGTCTATAATACTCTAATTTTTGCTTTTGAATATATTTTATTTTAAGGCTACAAATGGCTCTCCATAATGTTTAAGTCTAACTTAGAGTTAAGTTCGACTTCAAATCTTTGTGAAACACCCCCCTGTTCTTACAGATTTTTTATTTTTCACATTTAACAAGATAACAGGGAAATAGCTGAAAGAGAAAGTGAGTAGAAATGAAAACCAAAGATTTAATTTCACATGGCCTTATAAACAGCTTTGTGTATCTGGATTTGATGTGTTCATTTGGGGAGAAAAAAAAGTTTTATGTGGTTCTGTGACTGACAATGACTAAAATAAGATGTTTAGATCAATAAGAAAAGCATAAACATGATTCTACATCTTGGCCCCATCTTATACAGTGTTGATTTTAATCGCAACTATGTACATAAGAGATATGAGACTGCAAACTTGCGATTGATTGGAGGACTTATGATTGATTTGGATCGATCGTAACTATTATAAGACGGGGCCCAGATGTGTACCAGTAGATTTCAGTCACTTTGTTGAATCCAAACCCATGTGAATTGACATTAAATCGACTTGCCCCACTCAGTAATGGTGCTGTGTATAACAGAAGGTTTATTTCCACTGTTGCACCCTACCATTTAGCATGTACTAACAAGTGGATATTTTCATTGCCAGAAGATGTCTGCCAGGAAAAAGACATCAATGTGAATAATCTTAAGTCACTCCAGCAGTGATGTATAAATGCTGTATTCCAGTTGCAAAAATATATATTTTTTGCTTATTTATACATGTATTATTTGTTAGTAATAATTATTGCTGAGTAATGTTATGTGCTTATAATGCCCAAGGTGAAAGAGCATTAATTGACATAAAACATATTTTCTTTTGGTATACATGTATATATGAACATTTGTTATAAATTAAACAAAAGAATGTTTTATCTCAAAGCTAATTTGAAAGTGTTCTGTGTAGTTTGTCATGTTTTAACATTACATGTAGAGTCAAACCTGTCTATAGCAACCACGCAAGGGAAACACAAAAAGTGGTCTTTGTAGACAGGTTCCTTTAGTACATGTTTCAATGAGAAACCATTTTCAAGGGAAACAAAAAATGTGGTCTTTGTCGACAAATGGTCTTTAAAGACAGGTTTGACTGTATTTGGATAGATCTTTCACAAAGCAATCAGAACGGAACTCAATGTAATTCACATCATGTAAATAATTTAATAATAACTCACATCAAAACACAAGCATATATGTATACTGTACATTCAACATAAAAAAAAACATGTACAGGTACAAGTAGAAATAAAAGGCAAATCATTCGTCTCTAATAGACCTGTTAACTAATTCCATGCAGACTTTTTAACAATTTTTACTCTTGACAGAAAAAAGCTTGTTACGAGGGGTTGGGAGAGTAACATGCATGAATTTAAATACATCAGGAAACGGGTCTATTGTATGAACAAGTTACCATTCAATCACCCCTCAAGCAACCAAGGTTGCATTTAGTATCAATTTTACTTATTTTCATAGATTGAGTGATTTGTTTTATACTGAATATCATGGCAGTTTATGTTACACCTAGGAAGAGCTATTGTAGCAAGAAAAAAAGGTTAATACTGCAATTGAGAGTGTAGAAATGCAGATGTGTAAATTCACTTGCCTGTTAAATAAAGGAAAATTACTGGTACAGACAAGCACTGGAGCACTAGCCTAGGCCATATATGGTAGTTAACATTTCTTTGCCTGCAGGTATTTTGAACAGAACAAAAATGTTACTAACTTTCCACATTGACAATGGTCAATATTCCCTCTCTTGAAAATCTACTTACTGGTAATAGTAATAGATATTATTGGTACATGACAAGGGGGAAGCCTTGGAAGTAATTGAAAGTATGAAGCGAAAATAACATAAATACATGTATGAAGAAGATGTTCTATTCTGAGCATAGAATTTATGACGGTAATCTATTCATCACTTTATCTACCGGTACTTTCAAATTCTATGATTGCTTGGAAGAAAAGGCTGTACGTCATCCCGCGATGAAAATGAAGACACAGATTCCTTCCGATCATACTATTTTTACCATACCAGTAACCTTTAACCTTGAATTTTATTTTAACATAATATTACACCACCATTAAAGCGATATATTTTGAAGGTCATCATATATAACAAACAAATCTGGAAGAAAACAAATGAAAATATTGCCTTACAAAACTAAGGAAAATGTACAGTTTTCATCACAGCTGCTTATACTTGTACCCCCCCCCCCCTTAAAAAAAGAAGCTCTGCACACATAATGCACAACTTAGCATCACACCAACCTGTCGTAATATTTTTTACAATGCAATGTCCCTTCCCAAGTAACCCTCAGGTCATAAGATCAGCCTAGTCAAATATATTTGCACTGCAAGATATACATCAGTGATTGAAATACATATGAGAAGAACATGAACTGGACAAAATTCTATCAAATTAATTAACATTCTTACCTTTGAATTATTTGTGGAATGTGAAGAGTTAGGAAATTCTAACATGTTTAACATTTACAATATGAGTTCTTAGAATTCTTCTTCTGTGACAGTAAGCAGACCAAGATATCAAATTTCAGAAAACCTATAATAACATGACCATATCACCTGTATGTTACATAGTTTTCCATCTTCTTAAGTATGGATATCCAAGAAATGTCTACCGGTATATTAAAATCCAAGGGATATTCCAAGAATTGTTGACATACCAGTATACCCCCCCACCCCCACCCCCACTTCTCCAATACAATCATATCATTTTTTTAAAGTATCATATGCAAATTGTAACTTACATAGAGTATAATATTTGTTGAGCTGCACAAGGACTTTCACTCCTTCATGCAGAAGATTCTGATAAATAAATGCCATCCAAAGTGACGATTACAGTTTATAGTAAGGGTACACCTAGTCAGGTATACCAGGGCCCCATTTCATAAAACTTGTCATCAGTGACAAATGACAGTTTGTATTATAAGCTAGTGAAATCCTTGCTTCTGATTGGTTATCAGCAGATTTGTCACTGATTTTTGTCATTTGTCACTGAAAAAAGGCTTTGTGAAACAGGTCCCAGATGTTGGAGCTCCATACATGGCGTCCTTACAATATAAAGCATTAAACAAAAATGAAACGGGTAGGTGTCAGGTCCTGAATTTAAGCATTATCCTAAAAACTGGCATCCCTGATGTAGATCAATTGTAATCAGTCCTCTAGATCAGAATCCGAATCATTGTATCTGCCTCCTTTGATGATCTTCTGAGTTCTCCTCCCAAGGAGATCAGATGCCTTGGATGTAGGCTTGGCTCCCTTACCTCCTGTAGGTGGGTCGGTAAGACTACCGCTGTAATTGATGACCTCGGCACAACCCAGTCTCCATTCTAGCATCTCAGTCGGGAAGTCATCTCTACCTCCCATATCATCAAACCTGTAAACAGACAATATTTGTGGGGTCATTTAGTTTGATCTCCCTTCAGTGGCATTGTCATATTAAATACCCATTCACAAGAAGGCTGTAAAACATTAAAAATATTAAAAACAGTTAATGCAGATGAACCTTAATGAATCTCTCAATTATTCTCATGATTCCTCTAAGCAAGAACATTAAAGTTTAAATGAAGAAGGGAACATGGGGGGAGGTAGATATTATTTTTCTTATAAATGCTTTCACTGCATTCTGTGAAATAATAAAACAATTTCAAAAATACTTTGTGTGTTGGGCATAATTAGATGAAACGGTCATAATATCCCTATTTTTAGGATAACAAACATGGTGAGGAGAGTGCAAATAAATACTCAGTGTTATTTTGTGTGTGTGTGTGGAGGGGGCAATGTAATTTTTTTTACCAAACTGCCAAATTAAAATCAGCCAGTAAGTGTACACCATACAACATTATGAATTGGAACAAACATTTATGTAGGGTCTTTAAGATGATTTTTTTTTTCCAGGCATGATGCAGACCTTTTCTATTTAACATATTTATCATGAAAACGAAAGAAATAGGGTCAGTGTCCTTCTTGAGGGAGAAAGATCTCTTCATTTATTTATTTCCAATTCATCCCATTTTCCTATTCACCCCACTACATTAACACTAGCTGGTTAACTTACCCTACAATGTAATCCTTGCTCTTTCCATCCTTGATGAGGGCTATGGTCGGTATGACGACTATCCTCAGCCTCTCAGCCAGGAATGGGCATTTCTCTGCATTGATCTTCAAGAAGCGTGTCTCCATGTGTTTAGGAGCCAGTCTGTGAAGGTGCATGTCAACTATCCTACAACGTTCAGCGCTTTCACGGTAGAAGTGACACACCACGTTGGTGCTCTTCTTACATTCAGCGAAGAAGTCCTTCTCAACAGGGATCTCCTGGTATTGCCCATGTCCTATCTGTAAGAATCAAGTAAAATAGGTTGTCAAAAAATAATTTCTTCTCCTACTACATATCTGAATCACATGTATAAACACAATTTTTGTACAATTACTCTCTGCTGCTCAATTATAACTACATCAAAAGCAGCCAAAATATTATATTCACTAAAAATATAACACATCGACTTCTTCAAAAAATTATTTTAAAGACAAATCTCTCTGCAAAGTTGTTTGTCTAGAGCTTTGAATTGCCATTTCCTTTCTATTCTCATCTAACAGTAATGACGTTTTTTGTTTATAACTAAATTGCAATAATTTGACTCGAACATTACAGGAGCCGTAAATGTAATCTTCATTTTTTTTAATGCTGGAAGGGTTAACATTTGACCAACAAATCCTCCAGTGTAACAGATTACAAGCATGAATTTATTTCAAAGATTAAAATCTTTTCACAGGGAATGTTCATGATAATCCATGGCACAGATTTCTCTCAAATTACATCAGGAAAAAGGAAGAAATTTCATGTTGAAAATAATTCATACAGCCCCTCCCACAAAACACACCAGTTTATCTTGGATAGGCTGATAAATGTTATAATTTGATGTCACTTTTGTTTGATTTTTCTACAACTCACACTTCTCCACTCATCCTCCTTTTCCCGCTGCTTCTTCAAAGCCACCAATCTCCTCTGACGTAGGACATCAAGTTCATCTTCATCTAGATTATCAAGGCGATGGATCTCTGCATCCACCTGACCCTCCATAATCTCTGCTACCTTGGAAAGCTGCTGTTGAAGAACCTGGTCCATGATGATGCTTTATGGTCTACTAGTAATACTGTGATTCAAATCATAGACAAAACCAAGAAAGTAAGGTTAATGTATTTCCACTGAACATAGAAACCCCATGGAAGTAATGTACACATTTGTGTATTACTGTAGAGGTCTACTAGTATTTAGATCTACAAGTAAATACAAACCAAATTTTACTAGGCCAAAGGCAACCACAACACATCATCATCTAGTACTGGCAAGTCATATGCAGGGTTAATGCTACAAATTCCCAATTTCAGCATGAGCTGTAGGAACTGCAACTGAGTAGTCATTGAAAGACTTCGGAGTTGTAAATGAAAACTAGATGGAATTCGACTGCGCGCAGTCGAAAATGATGCCTCCGTCATAGAGCAATTTTACAAACCGAAACGGAAGAAATTTTTCAAATTCAAGTTCAATTGTAATCCATTAACATGTTCTCAGAATATCGTGATTACAAGCAATTTCTCATAAACATATATGACCCTTTGATCTTTGACCTCATGACCCTAAAATCTACTCAGTTCATTGGCTCTGCAAGATTTCCTGAGTTAAATAGTAATCCATCTGTAAGTTCTAATGAGAATGCGTCCACAATCTATTTTTGCATACATAATGAGCCCATGACCTTTGATCTTATGAACCATTCATTGGCTCTGCAAGATACATAAATGATCTAAGTTTGGCAGGAATCCATCAATCTGTTCTAATGATAATACGATCACAAGCTATTTTTGCATACATAATGAGCCGCATGACCTTGACCTTTACCTCATGACCCCAAAATCTAATCAATTCATCAGCTCTGCAAGTAACATACATGACCAAAGTTTGGCAGGAATCCATCAATCGGTTGTTCAGATAACGCGATCACGAGCTGTTTTTGCATACATAATGTGCGCTGTGACCTTTGACCTCGTGACCCCAAAATCTAATCAGTTCATTGGCTTTGCAAGATACATACATGACCAAAGTTTGGCAGGAATCCATCAATCGGTTCTTCAGATAACGCGATCACAAGCTGTTTTTGCATACATAATGAGCCCTGTGACCTTTGACCTTTGACCTCGTGACCCCAAAATCTAATCAGTTCATCAGCTCTGCAAGATACATACATGACCAAAGTTTGGCAGGAATCCATCAATCGGTTGTTCAGATAACGCGATCACAAGCTGTTTTTGCATACATGAGCCCTGTGACCTTTGACCTTTGACCTACGTGCTCCAAAATGTAATCAGATTGTTTTCCTATAGTGATACACACTATCACTAAGTTTGAAGTTTAAATCTCCAGTGGTTCTTGAGATATCATGATAACAATCTCAATGTATGGAATTTCATAAGTTGACCTCTGTGACCCTTGACCTTTGACATACGTGCTCCAAAATCTAATCAGATCGTCTTCCTATGGTGATACATACTATCCTTAAGTTTGAAGTTTAAATCTCAAATGGTTCTTGAGATATCGCGCTAACAAACTCAATACAAGGAATTTCATAAGTTGACCTCTGTGACCTGTGACCTTTGACCTACGTACTCCAAAATCTAATCAGATCGTCTTCCTATGGTGATAAATACTATTCCCGAGTCTTAAGTTTAAATCTTAAATGGTTCTTGAGATATTGTGATAACGGTCAAACGGGACGGACGGACGGACGTACGGACGGACGTACGGACGGACGTACGGACGTACGTACGGACGTACGGACGGACAACCCGAAAACATGATGCCTCCGGCACCACCTTCGGTGGCGGAGGCATAAAAATGGTGGCGTCGGGGAATTTTTTTTTTTTTTACTCGACTTGCCAGGGTTTTTTCTTTGACTTTAGATTTCTAGAGTCGACTCAAGATCTAGCCCTACTTGCTTTTGCTTAAATGTAACATTAAGTTTATTTACATCTAGATCTAGATCTAGATCTAAATTTCAATTGACAAGACAAGTGTAAATTCCCAGAGGGTTTTGGACGAACTAACAATATATTTAACACGTGGGACCACACAAATTCCGTTGCTATGTTAACCAATGCAATGGCAATGTACGAGAATGAAAACATCCTGTAGATGTTTGTTTAAAAATTCATAGGGATTAACATATGAATGGAGGAGCCTGTAGCATCAGTTGAGGTATAATAAGTTAAATTATTCAAAAATGTATTAGAACTCTATGAATAACAAAGATTTACATACCTTCTAAACGTGGAGTTTCGCTGTGAGTCATTCACTCAATTCAAACTTGAAACATCAGCAGCAGAAAAATTGAGTGCTTTGGCGCCATCTAGAGTTCGGATCTGCTTACCAGATCCAAGTCACGGCTACCTTCGTATGGCCACACCTAGTTACATGTTACTTTGCATGTATCCCTTACCCAAAGGTGCATTATCTGTAAATTTCTATCGCAGAAATACCACATTGTTGTGACAAATACAGTTCTAGAAAACCTCCCCCTTGATTTTCATCTAGGACAACCACTACTCTGGGTCCAAAGAACAAGAGGCATACCCCTTTGATTGCATCATGAGGATGATGGGGTAGCCCTTTTATGTTTTTTTTTTCTTTCGGGATGATGGCCGAGGCATCAAATGCATGTAATATAGCCTTTCACATCCAGCCGGACAACCTTCCATCTGTTGGTCTATATTAAACCCAGACAAATAGGTGCTCCATCAACTGAAATCGATTTTGGAGTTTGGTATTTTAGGCTCGAGGAAACACATTACTTTTACACACAATTACCCTTTAAAAAAACACACACGTGGGATAACTACCATGCACACCCCCTCCCCAAGCAACTCTTCGTGCCCCCCTTGGACAATGAAACCTAGGGGTAATGATAAGGTTGTCCGGAAGCAGGTGATAAAAAGTGCATGAATCAATAAAAATTCATTTCTCCTGAGACAAATACTGCGGATCATGACAGTTGTACTCCTAATCATTATTATTTAACGACGGTAACTTTGATGAAAAGAATTAGATTCCGACAAAGTTTGAAAGGTAACAAAATAGCTTTAATAATTATCATGATTGTAGAAATGGGAGAGGAACGGCCAGAGAGCGCAAATGAGAAAGACATCTGGGCAGGCCGGCTGGCCCCGACTAAATCAGTTTAAATAACTGGGCTAATATTTTTAAAACCTCACTAAGCTATAATTTTTTGTTAAGTAATTACATATAGGCTAACTAGCATTAGTAAAGATTTTTTTAATGAGTATGAGCATTGGTATACAAATTGAGTGGTCGTTAAAATAGTTGTTGAATTTGTTTATATCGACTTGGATCAGAAAGAAAGAAAGAAAAGAATCCCTAAATAAATGTTCACGTTCATAGTCAACGTTGAGTAAGGATAAATGAATGTTCAACTGAAAAATCACCGCAGTTCTTTTCGAATTACGGTACGAATAATTATATGAGCATAAAAAGCCTGCACCATTAGATGACATCTCCGTAACCCTGTCGCCACATAATTACTTCATCTTATAATCATGATTCCCCTTTCCTTTTTTAAAGTGATTTTTCAAATGTATTTCTAAAGATAGATCATACCTGTTAATATGCCGGTGAGTGGGCACCGCATCCCGACATAGCAACAACGTATGGAGACTCTGTTAAGACTCTTATCAAGTGCTAATGTATCATAAGTATGCTACCTGTATGTGTCACGTTCATGAGTATACAAGGTTAACAACCTTTAGTTAACAAAACTTTCCCGACATAGCAACAATAAATGGATTTTACCCTACTCAGTGCCAAGTGGAATGTGCTTGACGTTATGCATGAACCTTCCTCGTAGTGGAATTCCTTTTGCCTGAGAAAAAATAACGTTTAGGCATGCGTATACGATCCCGATAGAGCAACAATGAATAAAAGAGAAAATTGTCTATGCAATATAATAGTCAATATCTTGTAGTGTGATAGTTTGTATAGGCCAACCTTACCAAACCGATATAGAAGCAAACATATCAATGGAGGCTCTCTATAATTAGGGTGAATAACACCTCTTTGAAGTTCCCATATACGTAAAGTGATTAAGACTTTCAACAACAACAAAAAATAATCATAATTTTCATATAATTTTTCCGATTTCGATCAAACTTTTACCAGTCTGCTTCTATATCTTATAGGCCTAGAGTAGTTTGATACTATAAGGTTGGATTTTCCTTTAATAAATGACACCTGTTATTATATATTTGTTAATGTAATGGATACGACTAGTTTAAGGACACGTCGTATGAAGACGAAGCAGTAGGACAGCTTTACCCCATGGGGGTACTTATTCCATCGCCGCATGGAGGAGCATCCTTTACCTAGAATAGGCACCTATTGGTCACAGGTGGGGGTAAGCTTGAAACATCGCCCGGAAACAGGCGGATTTCACTCGGTAACACTTGAACACTTGGGGAAAACAGCAAAGAGATCAAATAATGAGCACAAAACATAATATTTAGGCAAACAGACGCTTATTAATGAAAGTAAATGTGTTTTCCAAGAAATTGGTATGATCTAAAAACGCATCTATTCATGAATGGACAGTGTAACCTCGAGAGGGGCATTTTATCACTGGATGGCTGGGTTCAATCGACGCCATCAGCCGTATATATGACTTGGCTATACTTGAGGAGGAAATATTTTTTGTTTTGATTATTATTTTATTGTGCTTCCATTCAACAAATTCATAGATAACAAAATTATATTTTATAGATAAGACAAAAACAAGCTCATACGTTTCGAATAATTTGACAAATAATAACAGAATGGAAACTATAAACATACCTGAAACTCCCTCTTCCCCTAAACCCCACTCCCCTCCGCCTAAAACCTCCTCCACTCTCCCTAAAAACCACTCTCCTCCCCCCAAAAATAATTGCTTTGTATATTTTGTTGTTGTTCTTAATACAGTTTATTTATATCTCATAATTCTCCTTTTCTATAACTTGGTATGTATCCCCAATTATAAATATCGCCCTCTTTATTGTTAAGAGATAAATAAAAAAAAGTTTTAAAGGTAATACAAAGTTTTGAAAAATCTAAATTGTCGTACTTTGATGGAGCAAGTTGGCTTTGGTTGGCTGCCCCCAATTAAATAAAGATATTTAAAGGAAAGGGTAAAAGTGCTAAAAAGGAGGATTGAAAAATCTTGGCAAGCCAGGCAAGTAATGGACACAAATTATTTACTTAACTATTGTCATCATCATCATCATCATCAATTTTATTATTATCATTATTATTATTGTTATTAGTTTTATTATGATTATTATTGTCATCTTTATTATTGTCATCATCATTATTATTATCATCCAGATTGTCATAATAACAATAATTATTATTATAATTATCATCATTATTATTATTTTTATTATCATTGTCACTATTTTAATTACTGGTAGTATCTTTTCATTCTTTTTCAGAACTTTTTAAATTTCTGAACCAGGAAGAGCGCGCAAGCACACAACCTGCAGACTGCATGCAGAGCCACTGGAAAAACGAAACCCTCTTCCACCATGCCCTACCTCTTACTCCTCTTCTGTGCACCCATGAAGCACCCCACCCTCCCACTTTTTTGGTCGAGTTGGTTCCAAACGCGCACACTTCGTCAATTTTACCATAGCCTTCGCGTGTATTCCGCGCGTACGGGTACGATTCATTTACGGGTTACGCTATTCGCCGTATATTTCCAATCTGGCCTAGCCTGCAATATGGATGTGTAACCATTGGATCCTATACGTACACTGCTGCAAATGGGAAGCGCCCACTTTTAGGATTTTTACAATATACATGGAATTTACCCCACAATCATCATGGTTTTGTCACCGCTTGAATTTAGTGAATGCTATCTAGATAGTCCTGAGTTTCGGGAGAAATTACGGGCTCATGAAAATGAACTGGACAGGACTAATAAGGCGATCAAGGAGCTCATCCGCGACGGGAAGGCTCTGCTTTCTGCTGCACGAAGTAAGTCCCATACATTTATTAGTGTGTCGTCTCTTCCACTTCTGCATGCGCACGCATTCAAAATTTCAGACCATCCAAATACATACTGGAGGCAACACATGAAGTTATTAAAAGTTGAAGTGAAGATATATAACAGCCGTCATTTTTGACAGCAAATTGTTATAATAATAAAGCAAAACTTATTTTTCTGCTCTCTTTAATAAAAACTGATTTATTTGTGACTTTGTGTGTGTCTGCTGTGTGGAGGGTCGAGGTGGATGTGTGTGTGAGGTGGGGGAAGGGAGGGGGGGGGGGGGCATGGGCCTGGCCGGGGGTAATTCGGAAATATAGTTCAAAGTGAGCCTCATTGTATAGACTATAGAGATATTATATTATATGTATCTAATATTACAGGCTATTTGTTTAGCGAGTAAAATGTGTTGTGTGACACTCAACAATATTTTGAATATGCTATATTTGAATGATAATAAGTTTTGTTTTTAATTAGTTTTTTGCACGATAAAAGGAGTACAAAAGTGAATTAGATTGTGCAGCTCTTTTCCTTGCAAATATGCATTGTTTTCATTGTCTTAGCTGTGTGCATCTAATGCAAAGGCAACCTGAGTGTAATTGAGACTACAAATACTGGTAGGCCTACCCTAAATGTTGCTCAAAATAACATACATGTAATGTACATTCGCCTCCGAATTCAGAATTTTTATTTGTGCTGTGATATTTCAACTTCGGCTTGTAGCCACTGTGAAATAATAATATCACACTGGATTCTGGAAATTCTGAATCTGTTGATTTATATATTTTGGTTATATTGAACGCTAATAGAGCTTGCAATATTATTATAATACTTAAGGGAGTGACGGTGAAATTTTATTCTTATATCTTAATTACGTGCCTTAATCCTGCTAGAGGGGCATTAAATTAATTTGAAATGAGTTTTAAACCACCAATCAGGATCCAAACAGACAATGTCCTTGCTATTGCATCTTACTTTCACCTTTTCTTTCAGAGATGGGGTCTAACTTGTTTTCCACCTTATTTTCTAATATTTGTCCTAAACTGCAAGTTTCAATCTTGTGATTTATGAATTAGAGCATAGAGGATTAAACAGTTGGAAAGCAATCTTTTTAACATCTTTCTCTATTACAACTTTGAGCCAGGCACTTATGAGTTATGTGACAATACTTTAATATCACTGTGTGAAAATCACACTTTATACAGATGTATACAACAGCAAATCATAAAAGAGCTCCTGCATAAAAAAGTTTTTTTTCTTCGCTACCTCCTCCCTCCACAATGCGGTAATGCATAATGCGTAAAGATTCTTTCACATATCTTTGTCAACACTGAAACAAAAATGGACAAAAAGAATAAGGATGGTTTTAATTGGTATGCAGTGGTATTCAAGTGAAAAAACAAGGCCACAATTGGTGCTTCAGTTAAGCACTTTGTACTGGAGAAGTACAAAAATATACTGCAGGTACTTACAGTGAAAGAAAAAGAAAACTACATGAAAACATGTACACGTACCGCTTTCTCAAATTCCATGTTTTTAATCGTGTTGCATTGCCCATTTCTAAGTATCTCAAATTGAACAATGATTTTAAATTCTTTATGCAGTCACTCATGTGATAGATTTAAATGTGACCTCTGAAAGAGAAAGGTGTTAAAAGATTGCTGTCCAACTGTTGTTAACAGTAATCCATCATTTGTGAGACACAATATGAAAACTGCACTCCAAGGTAGTAAATGTAAATGAGGTGGGGGAAAAAAGGTAAGACCCCTACAATGTTCGTCTGAGAGAGAGCTTGGGATATGCACAGCAAAACATAATTTCTGTCTCTAAAGGGCAACATTACAGTGTATCGTTACAAAAGTTGAGACTTCTTGTTCTACAAATAATCATGATCATGAAAAAGATCCAGAGGTGGTGCTCCTGGGGGAGGCATAGTGCTTCCCCTACTTTTTCAAATACCCCAAAAGTGCCCCTTTTCAAATCTGAGACCTTTCCTTTCCAAAAGTGCCCTTTTTGTTGGTGCCCTCCCCCTCCCCCCCCCCCCCCCCACTTTGGAAGATGGTCTGCTGCCTCTTAAAAATATCTGTACAACATGTACATGTAGCTTGTAGGTTTAGTGTTTGGCCTGTGGAGTTCCATGCACACGTAAGCTACATGTTTCATGTTTGACTGTCACATGCCAAATAAAGTGAACAAAGTTCAATGAGATAAGACGATCTTCATGCTCTTGTAGTTGTACCCTTCATTTTTAATGTTTTTGAATTCTGAGTCCAAGCCATTTTCTAAAAGGGGAGACTGTTTCTATATTGTGTCTCTGCTTTGACTATGTGCCATGGTACCCAACATACATGTACATGTATACATGTACGCCTGTACTGTAGTGTTATTTTGAACTTTGCACTTCACGTTCAGTATTGTCTTCTTGCATCTCATCACCTGAGATGTCCTCAAGAAATATGTTGAGGTGATGACAGCTGTTGACCTCTGAAGGTCATAACAGCCTTACAGGAAGATTTAGGGTGAGGGCTGTGATATGCCGAACCAGACTGTACAAGTGCTTGTAGACCTGCTTGTACACAGTGCCAACCATGGTTTCTGTGAATATTCGTTTCTGTTTATACATTGTACTTCAGGCGTACATGTGTATGGTAAATGTAATGATATACATGGTAAATTATGAAATTAATAGTTTACTTACATTAACATACATGTATGTAGATCACTGGTACATTTTTTTTTCGATGGAAATTTGTATGTACATTGTACAGTACATGTTATTCAACCTTTGTATAAAAATGGCTAGCATTTGACCCTACACATATTGTCATAGGTAACACAACAACCAGATTTTAGTTTACAGTAGAGCATTAAATCTTCTGCAATCTACAGGCCTACATACATGTACATGTATGACTGAACATGGCAATCGTGACCATTCCAGGGACCTTAGAATGTCCATTGAGAATACTCTCCTTCAACATGGTGTACTTTCCTGTCATTGAAGTGATAACTTCCTCTCCGTGTCCATGTGTAGGTCTGAGTCAAAACACTGGCTACTTTGGGGAGTGTTTCACAAAGAATAAGATCGACTTTAAGTTGGACTTCATGCCACTGTTTGCTCTCACCATTATTATCTTTAGATAATATTTTTTCCTTCAATATAAATGAGCTATCAAAAAATGTAAATCCTGTAGATTTGTGACTATGATTTGTGCGTCCCTTGAGAGACCAATGCAAGTGAATGGTGAGAGCAAACAGTGGCATGAACATGGCCTGTCATAGTTAAGTCCAACTTAAAGTCGATCCGTGAAACACCCCCCTGGACAGCTACTTCATGATCATTTCATTTATGAAGGCCTACATGATTACATGTACTGTACATGTAACTTAATTAGTTTCTCTTTTCAGATTCCATCTCTCATAATATTGTACACAACTAATACTATAGACCCTAAAATGTGGGTTTGTCTATCAATGTAAAATATGTTTGCCTTTTGTACCCATTGATTTTCAATTCCAGTGTTTCCCACTGTTTCGATGATATAACACCAAAAAAAAAAAAGTTTAGAAAAACAACTATTATCTTGTAATTCTTGTTGTAAAGCCATACAATGATGTACATTGTAGGTCCCACCTTTCTGATAAACTATGAGTTCAGTATGATGGGACCAAGTCATTTGATGCACGTGTAGGTGTCGTATAAACTATTATGATGGATAAGAGCAAGTGAAGGGAAACTTAATTATCTGAAGGATGATCGTACCGACAGTATTTAAACACCAAATGACCTGGGTCAAATAGAAATTAGAGTAATCTTTAAATTCATGGCTAATACTGTACTATAGATGCAAGCAGTATGCTTTAATACAAACTTGTGGCTATTTTACTGGTTATTAGAGGATGAATTTAACAATAGCACTTACACAGTAATAGAGCCGAGCTCCACACTAACTCTTTTTCAGGGGGTCTAGGCCAAGATTTTGGCCCCCATGTGCCCCAGGGCACCTGTTACTATTGAGCCTGCTTTCAGTGAATGTTGTATCTTGTATTCAGTTAGTGAGAGAAGCTGAAATCTTGTATCTGGTTCAGTGATATTATTTGATATATCATTTGATATCAGGGCTATATCGCTTTTAAGTTTCGACTGAGATTTAAAAAAAAGTAGATTGCCATGGACATTGATTATCACATTATGTTATTGATTGTAAAAACTAAAGTAAATTAAATAAGTTTTTGTGCCCCTCTGTATTGATCAATTCTTTTTTTTATTGGGGCCTTTTCTGAGGCTCTTCAGGGCAAATCACCTGTGGTCCTATGTATGACCTTCGCTGTTTTATATCTGTTGACACTTGAATGACAGCCACAGACTTTTATGTGTAACAGTTTTTAATAATCTGCAAACTGCACATCTTTATGTGGTGTGAGCCAATTGTTGCGGGAGGGTATGGTACCTTCAATTAAATCAATGAGTTTCATTATAGGAGTTAGGATTGCTTGATTTTGTAAAAGTTTCAAACTTAGTTGTCCTGTATACCAACTACAGTACTCATTAAAAATAGGCATTTATCTGTAATATTAATAAAAGTAAAACACAATTAAATGGGAAGAGCATAGTTATAACTTGTAAAATACCAAATAGATTTTGACATTTGTAAACCAATTTTATTCTCCCTGTGCAGTTGCCTAGCCATGTGGAACAGCTTGTTAAAAATGTCCATTCTTCTGACTCGTCCTGGAATTCTCACAATGCTTGTCAACAGGACAGCTCTGTTATTCATTAAAACCCTTTGGAATGTAGTTGTTTAGTGGGTTTAGTCCATTGCAAATGTCAACCTTATTCAATGCATTGAAAACTCAAAATAGCTAGAGTGGGAGACAATATGCAGTGTCATACATAAACACAATGGATAGAAGTATTTGTAAACTGATTTCAGTAAATATCTCATATTTACTTTAGTTTCTGTTTTTGCATGCATTTGTTTATCTACAG